TGATGTTCCAGGTCCCTTTTGTGTTCCATCTCTTTCAAGTATTATCAAGCTGGGGGAAGAAGCAGTGTAATCACCAGGATTCTTTGAACTGTGCGTAGTAGCATTTCTATAGTATTTAAGGCAGAGTATAAATTTTCTCATCCTAAAGATTCCAGATATCTTTAAACTGTCACAAGACTTATATGATAAATGTACGTTAGTTTGCTTGTGAAATCTCTAATAAATTATTTCCTTTCTCTTCATTTTGACTTGTATTTTGTTGTGGAGTTTGGGAGTGGGAAGGAGGAAGACGACACTTTTTTTTGTTTGTTTTGAAAGGGTGAACAGTCCAAGTGTAACTGTGCAGCATGTTCTACATGATTCAGAGCACCTCCTTGAGTGTGGTGTTTAGTTGTTAGTGTTTCAGGGTAAAAAGATAAGATCTAAGGATAATCTCATTTTAGTGTAAATCTTTTCCTTGTCTTGGAGACTAAGCAGGGGGACTAGTATACTGGCATGAATTTGTACTGTGAAATGAGGCACTGATTTTTCTTTAGTAATTAATTTTCATTTTTCATCTGCATCTTGAAAAATATCACTAGTGAGCCTAAAATCATTAAAACAAGAGTAGCAGATAAAATGGTGTTAAACCAGTGTTGGTGTGGTTGAACTGGGTTTTAAAAAAAACCCAAAACAATACTGTAGAGCTCATATAGTAAGATTTGTTACATACTAGGAAGATCAGTATGACTTTCTAAAACTGCATGGGAAATATTGCAGTGATGTTTACTTGGCAAGAGAGTCCAATGGATTTAAGCAGAAAATTATTTCATAAAACATTAATTCATAGTTAGTGGTGTAGTAACAGGATGGTTGTAAAGACTTGTTTTGTCATCGTTCCAGCTGCAAACAACCTAAATCACTAGGACTGATTGCTGGACCAAAATAAGTATATCTTTGCTGTATTTTCAATATGAACTGGTTTAGCAGATTACTTTAAAATACTTTTACTAGAATTCTGCTTAGCTTATTGGTTGTGTTCCTATGTGGACTCTGTAGTTGTTTGTTAGTTTATCTTACCTGTATTTGGAGTAGTAGCCCAGGAAAAATACACTTAGAGGAAGTTTTATGAGAACTTTTGGATGGTTTATGTTGCTTAGAAGAGAGGAAAAAGTGGCTTAAATTTATCTGTCTGTGGCCATTCCATTATGAATGCTTATGCTAAGCTGTGCTCTTGGTGGGTTCATTATTAAAGAACAAATGAAACATACTGCTCACCATCCTATTATTGATAATCTGTCAAGGAAACTTCAGGTGTTTTTAAAGTCAAAAGGCAAAGCTTTTGTTCCCTTTTTTTTTTTGTATACCCATTTCTGCTAGTTAGTTTTTGGTTTGTGGTTTTGGGTTTTTTTTTCCCCTTAGAACGTTTGTTTTGTTTGATATTTCAGGTCAAATGACCTCTATTTTTTAAGCAGTGAATGCAGGCTTATTTCACAGTTTTTCATTAGCTAATGACATAGACACAGTAACATTTATTATTTAGTTAAACTTGAATAAACTCCTATCACTATAATTTTCAAGGTGAGGCTGACTCAGATAATCTAGTAATCAAGAATTTTACTATAGTGCTCTTGTATAAATTGACTCTTTGATCTTGTGATAGCAGAAGCTAAATTAGATTTATTGTTTAAATGTGAGTTGTATGCCTTATCAAAATTTTCCTTGAGAGCAAAATTCAGGTGGTCATTCTAATATGCTTTTAATTTTAAAGAGATGGATTTTTAAAAAGCATGCACACTTATCCAGTGTCCTCAGTGTGAGTTTGATACATAATGCTCCTCTTCAGCTGCAGTCTTTTGAGTGTTTGTTCCTCAAAAACGTTGATTTTTAGGGACTTCACTATATGGTTGTGAAAAGAAGTTTTGGTTTTGAGAAGGTAAAAATAATAGTGTCATCTGCAAAGTGGAGTTAATGTGCATTTAGAAATGAACGGCTTCTAGCTAAATTACCCTTATGACAATAGCAACTTGGAAAATTCACGAGGATGTTGCTCGTTTTACCTAGTTTGCATTTTTGTTATCCCTTTGTATCTTTGGAAGTTGACAGCTAAGCAGACACCTAATGTCAAACAGAGAATTGCTTTTCCTTTATTGTTTTCTAGGACATTTCCAACTGCTTCCAGTTTATTCCTTAAATACATCTCCCTTGATACAAGACTGAAGAGAACACATTTGTTATTGTAAATACTCGGGTTTCCCTGAGCAGCTACATTGCTATGGTTCCTATTGTAGGACAAACACCTGAGTCCTGTAACTCCTCCCTGAGTCTTACTCCAGCCTAGCAAGCAGCTTCTGGTATAAGATCTTTTTATATTACATACAAATATTTTGTTGTGGTTTTGACTGTTCCTAGAGAAAAGCAGCATTCTGATAGTGAAAAACTCATTTGTTACTCAGAGCAAAGCCACTGTAGCAAATTGAAGTAGGAAACACTTGTTAATCCAGTGTAGCCATCAAAGGTGCGAAACCCTTCCTTGAGCTAGCACGTTTTCAGACTGCATCTGGATGGAGCCACCTCACAGAGCTTTGTGACTCAATTTATTGCATGTGAAAAGGTATATAGTAACCATGCCCTACCTCCTGACACCCCGCGGAGTTACAAGTACAGAACCAAGCGATTACCATACTGCATAAAAGGCCGAGTAACTTTCCAAAGCAGTGGAGCAGGATAACAGCAAGGTGGTGCTATACTCAAAGCCAAAAATATTTTTTGGGAGAAAAAAAAAAAAAAAAAAAAAAAAAAGGGGGGAATAAGGCTATAGGCGGAGAGATTTTCTTTCTCAAGTCTCGAGAACAAATATATTCCAGCACGTAATTATATCCTGGATCGACATAACGACGCGTGACACAAAGCTTTCGGCTCAACCGTTTCTCAGGGGCAGGCCCCGCGCG